GAGATAGTTTGTGTGCAAGTATAAATTATTCTTTATAAACCAATGTAAACATTTTCCCATTTTTGTATAATATGCAATAATTTATGTCTTTATTGACTTGTGGGACTTTTATGTAGCCACAATGTGTGTGGGTGTGTATATATATCTTTACAGTTTTTGTAATATGCAGATACAATTTAGACTGTCATATAAACATGACCATTATAGTTTTTTTTTTTTTTTTTTGAGATGGAGTCTTACTCTGTCACCCAGGCTGGAATGTAGTGGCGCAATCTTGGTTCACTTCGACCTCTGCCTCCTGGCTTCAAGCAATTCTCCTGCTTCAGCCTCCCTAGTAGCTGGGATTACAGGCGTGCACCATCACGCCCAGCTAAGATTTTTTTTTTTTTTTGTATTTTAGTAGAGGTGGGGTTTCACCATGTTGGCCAGACTGGTCTCGAACTCCTGACCTCAGATGATCCGTCCACCTCAGCCTCCCAAAATGCTGGGATTATAGGCGTGAGCCACCACACCTGGCGACCATTATAATTTTTTGAAAGTCTGTTTACATACCAAATAAAATCATCATGTTGGATAACATACTAGAAATGTTTCTTTACAATTTTGAAATAATCTATTTTGTAGACTAGGTCATTTTCATTAGAATTTGACCTTGACCTAGTTGAATTCATGTGTTAGCATTTCACACGTAACCATCTTGGATTAAGAAGATCCTTATTTCTGAGCTGGTGTGCAGTCCTACGACTCAGTTTATTTCAGCTGTATTCGTAGTTTGATGCCTGCCATCTTACTTTAACTTCATAATGTTCTGTATAGATTATTAAGTAATCAAAATGGTCATATTGAGAAAACTGAATACAGTTCATCGGTGTGACCCCAGTCTTATAAGGGGTCATTAAAATAATACATGACATTATGCCTTCATTTATTAATTCAGTACATTTATCAAACTACTATGTAAAGTTGTTTCCCAACCCATTCAGAATAAGATATAAACTGTACTCACCCAGAAAATACAAACTCACCAGTCTGTACCTAATTTGGCCCTGACAGCCTCTTATCTCACCTTTGCTCACTATACTCTAGCTAAGTTAGTCTGTTCAGTTTCTCAAATGCCATTCTTGGCCTTGGCTTAGAGCTTTTACACTGGTTGTTTCCTTTGTTTGAAGTGGTGTTTTCCCAGATGTTTTTTAGCCTGGCCCTTTACCTTTCCAATTTCAGCTTAAATATCACCTCCTGCTTCCTCACCACTCAGTTAAAAATAGCTTCTCCCATCACTGTTTTAATTTCTTCATGTCATTTGTCAGTCCTTGAAATTAATGTGTTTTTTAAAATTTATTTTTATGACAGTAGAGACTTCCTTTGTCTTATTTCTTGCTACAATGTCTGAAACAATACTGGCACCAAAAGGTGTTCAGTAAAAAAAACTGTTGATAGGATAAAGCCAGGTACCAATCTCATCTATTCCCCCCACTTTTTTTTGAAATGGAGTCTTGCTCTGTCGCCCAGGCTGGAGTTCAGTGGCATGATCCGGGCTCACTGCAGCCTCTGCTTCCCTGGTCCTATCAGTTCTTGTGCCTCAGCCACCCATGTAGCTGGGATTCCAGGTGTGTGCCACCACGCTAGCCAATTTTTTATTTTTAGTGGAGATGGGGTTTCTCCTTGTTGGCTAGGCTGGTTGAGAATGTGATCCACCTGCCTGGGCCTCCCAAAGTGCTGGGATTACAGCTGTGTGCCACTGCACCCTGCCTGTTCTTTCTTGTGAGTGATTTTAGTGTATTAATAATTTAAAATGTTGAAAGCATATTTCTCCTAACCTAGAAAAGAAACTGGATTATTCAGATAAAAGCCTGTTTTAGAAAAGGATGAGAAAATTTAGGAACCGTTGTGATGATCTTTAGATCAGAGTGGTAAATGGAGCCAGTGTTGTGCTGGAGCTGGTTAGCTGATTGTGCCTCTCTCTCCAGCTCCATGTTCAGTGACATCATGTTAGTAGCTTGAAACTGGCCATGGTGGGACATTTACAGAATGGTAGACTGCAGAAGCTACAAATCAGGGGCCCTTTTCACAAAGAGGTGGTTAAATATTTATCAACAGACCACTGGGAGGGGGATCATATGAAATTGTTGTTTTTATAGACAGAAAAATGCTTGAATATTGGCAGTTCCTTTCCTTTCCTTTCCTTTCCTTTCCTTTCCTTTCCTTTCCTTTCCTTTCCTTTCCTTTCTTTTCTCTTTCTCTTTCTCCTTCCTTCCTTCCTATCTTCCTTCATTCCCTCCCTCCCTTCCTTCCACTCCCTTTCTTTCCTTTCTTTCTTTCAACAGAGTCTTGCTCTGTCGCCCAGCCTGGAGTGCAGTGGCTCAGTTTTGGCTCACTGCAACCTCTGCCTCCTAGGTTCAAGTGATTCTCCTGCTCAGCCTCCTGAGTAGTTGGGACTACAGGTGTGCACCACCATGCCCAACTAATTTTTGTATTTTTAGTAGAAACATGGTTTCATCATGTTGGCCAGGCTGGTCTTGAACTCCCGACCTCAAATGATCCACATGCTTCGATCTCTCAAAGCGTTGAGATTACAGGTGTAAGCCACCACACCTGTTGGATATTGGCAATTTCTTACGGTTTACTCTAGTAGAATTGCTTGTTTTGGTTTAAAGAAATTTCTTCATGGCGGTCAGTGGAGTTATATCACTGCTTTCACCTTCTTTTTCAAAGTTATGTTCTCTTTACATCTGATAATTACTTCTAGATTCATTTAATGCATAAAATGTGCTATTTATGTGTTTGTATATTGTTTAAGTGTGTATCTAATAGTTAGTTCATTCCAAAGCAGGCACCAAAGATCTTCAGATTCCTCTGAGAGTGTTCTTGGTTTTGCTAAATAAGCCTATTGAAAGGCGTTCCTTTTCTGGTCAAGAAAGCAGAACTGATTCAGTTTGTTATATAGCATTTTCTCAGCCTTCCTACCCAACTTTTCAGAATGATTTACATAAATACTCTTGAGTTCAATTTTTTTTAAAGTTTTTTTTCTGCTTTTACTTACTACGCTTTAAGTGCTTACTTACTTTCTCTGATGATTTACTTTCTGCTACTCTGTGATTTCTTTTACGAATCAATGAAATGGTTTTGTCTTGTTTTCTCAGGTTTTTTCCTGTTACCTTTCTTATGGTCACCTGGACATTCCAACCCATTTTCCACACTCTCCCTCCACCTTCTCCCCCAGTTCTTTAAAGAGACACAAAGTTACAGACACTATTTTCTGATTGGAGAAAATTTATTGTTTAAAAATTGAACTCTGAGACTGGGCACAGTGGTTGGCTCACGCTTGTAATCCCAGCACTTTAGGAGGCTGAGGTGGGCTGATTGCTTGAGTACAGGAGTTCGAGATTAGCCTGGGCAACATGGTGAAACCCTATCTCTATAAAAAATACAAAAATTAGCTGGGCATGAGTGTGCTTATGACCCCAGCTACTTGGGAGCTGAGGTGGGAGGTCGCCTGAGCCCAGGATGTTAAGGCTGCAGTGAGCTGAGCTCGCACCACTGCACTCCATCCTGGGTGACAGAGCAAGACCTTGTCTCAAAAAAAAAGAAAAAAGAAAAAAAAACTGAACTTTGTTGGTTTGGGGGAGTTTATTGGCACTTTTTGAGCAACAGTTGCTTTGTTAATTCTGAATAACTGGATTTGAACTGGTGCTATTGAATTAAAATATGGTGCCTACATTTCTTATCCTTTAACTGAAATTGTTCTCTTTTATGCACACACACAAACTGTATTTAATGTAGAACATCAGAAAGTATATACAAGCTAAGGAAAAAGTTTTAATCCTACCACCCTAAGATTTAATAACTAGTCGGTGATCATGTTTTGATGAATATCCTTCCAGATGCCTCAGTATGGATATATGTTGTTTCACAAAATCTTACATAGACTATTCTATAACATTTCACTTTAGTGAGTATTATCATAAAAGTATTACTTTTTATAACTTCAGTTTGAAAGGGTCATATTGGAAAGTGAAAATTTTGTTTGACAAGGATAAAGCTGTAAGTAAAGTTGTGATTAAAAACAATGGTGTTTATAGAGAGTAGAATGTGGTAAGTCAACTGGAGAAAAGAATTACTTCAGCAGTAATTTTTGTCTTAAGAGCCCTCTTACCATTGCACAATAGCCTGATTGTTTTATACTAGCTGATGAAAACTGTACAGGATTCTATGTACAGCAGAATTATTTTAATAATAGCCCTAGGGTAAAATGTGAGCCCATAGATAAGTTTATATTTTTTCGTCTGTCCGAGTCCTACTGATCCTTTAATAATAAAATAATTTTGGAAGAAAACTGTGTTTTGTTGAAGGCCTTCATCTATCTGTCATATGACAATTTTATTAGATATTGCTACCCTTTTTATGTGTCAGAATGAGGAGTGAAATAGTTTTTGGAAAAATTTTAGCATGTGAGAATTCTTATGTTAATGTTTCCTTTGATTTTTGTTTTAGGAATGTGAAAAATCCTGTGGAAGAATTGCTCTTATATATTGGTATATTGTATTCTTTGGAAATCACCAATTCCAGACTTGTCAAGTGGTTGTTTGGGTCGTTAAATAGCAATTTTAAAAGCGAATCAAAGATCCTTTAAGGATTTTTCCTTTATCACAGTGATATCCATTACCTGGGGTAGGGTAGACGGTTGATGTCTTGCCTTCATTTTTATTGTTCTTAACTTTGTCCTTTCTGTGTTGTATCACTGCTTGCTCACAAGCTCCTCCAGTCTTTTATTCCTCTGACCCCCTTGTGCTACTTCCTGAATGGTGCATATGTTGCTGAAAACATTTCTCATGTGGTAAAGAAGAGTAAAGAGCAATGTAGTTGATGTGGCCTTTTCTACTGAGAAATGATGCATTTGTGATCTACAGAAGAGACTGACAGCCCCTAAAGAAGTGTTTTTTATCTACATTACATGTTTGTGAGTGGATATGCAAGTGCCTCTGTTGGAAGGTAAAGTGAATCTTGAGACAAATTCAAGAAAAGTGTTTATAATTATTTCATACATTTTGCTGTTGAAAAAATAGTATTTAAAAAAAGTTTCATCCTACAGTGAATTTTTAGCCTCCCCTTTTAATACTTATTTTGTGAACAGTGACCTTGTTTTTGTAAACTCTGCTCTGAAGAAGTTTAGAAATTAGTCACACAGTAAGTGGCAGAACAAGTATTCAAAGTCTTGCCTGATTTTCCATAGTCATTTAGCTTGGAAAGCACTGTAAAGTGGCAGAAAGAATATGGACTTTGAAATTTAGACACACCTCAATTTGATCTCTAACTTTGCTACATATTTGCTGCGTGGCAAGTTCTTACCATTGGTGATTTTCATTTTCCTTTTCAGTTAAGTGAGAGCAATACATTTGTTAGGATTAAATGAAGTAATGCACATAAAGCATTTGGCTTGTAGAATAAGATGTTGATAAATGTTTATTTTTCTTTCAGCAATACCATATCGTTTTAAAATGTCTTGGGAGCCACTTGGACATTTCACTTGAAAGTTAAGTGCAGTCAGGAAACTAGAAACGTGTAACCCAGGTAGTGATCTTGTAGGGAAATTTTAATTTCCCTGTCTAAGGAGGAAAGTAGTTCTTTGGACTGTTTTAAAAATATTTGACTTCAAGGAAAGTTTTCATGTTAAAAGCTGAAATAGAACTGAGTTGGGATGAGTTAATTATTGCTAACCAAAATTGTAAGAGAGTACATTTCTACATTTCCTGAGAAATTGAAACATTTGTGTTATATACATAGAGAAGTCAGTTTTAAAGGCTAAGGACTGACCATTTGACAAGTTTATGATTAAGATATGGGGAGAAAGTGTTCATTTTTAAAGTAATAAACAATAACAAGTTTCTCTTATCAGATTTAAGATTTAAGGAATGGTGCTGGTTCAGACCTGAGTACAGTGATGACACAGGTACTAAATATGCTGTTGGAGGTAGTATAAATCTGGAACCTGTCTCAAAAGTGCTTTGGCATATGCCAAAGAGTAAAACCTAGTATTTCCACTTCTGAGAGGTTATTCTAAGGAAGTAACCTTTTTTTTGTTTCTTTTTTGGGGGAAGAGGAGGTTATTTTCTTTCATTAATGACACCCTAATTGAGATAATTCACATTAAAAAAATCATCTTTTATTATTATTATTATTATTATTGAGATATGGAATCTTGCTCTGTCGTTTAGGCTGGAGTGCAGTGGCGCCATCTCTGCTCACTGCAAGCTCTTTGTCTTTCGGGTTCAAGCTCTTTGTCTTTCGGGTTCAAGCTCTTTGTCTTTCGGGTTCACGCCGTTCTCCTGCCTTAGCCTCCCTAGTAGCTGGGACTACAGGCACTTGCCACCACGCCTGGCTAATTTTTTTGTATTTTTAGTAGAGACGGGATTTCACCATGTTAGCCAGGATGATCTCGACCTCCTGACCTTGTGATCCGCCCGCCTCGGCCTCCCAAAGTGCTGGGATTACAGGTGTGAGCCACCGCGTCCAGCCGTCTTTTTTTTTTTTTTAACACGGAATTTCCCTCTTGTTGCCCAGGCTGGAGTGCAATGGTACAATCTTGGCTCACCACAACCTCCGCCTCCCGGGTTCAAGTGATTCTCCTGCCTCAGCCTCCCGAGTACATGGGATTACGGGTATGCGCCACCACGCCCGGGCTAATTTTATATGTTTAGTAGAACCAGGGTTTTTCCATGTTGGTCAGGCTGGTCTTGAACCCCTAACCTCAGGTGATCCGCCCGCCTTGGCCTCCCAGAGTGGTGGGATTACAGGTGTGAGCCACCGTGCCTGGCCAAAATCACCTTTGTTACATAAGTCAGTGTTGTACAACCATTGCTACTAATTTTATATTTTCATCACCCCAAAACAAAATGAGTAATCATTGCTATTCTTCCCTCTCCACATCCTCTGATAGCCACTTACATATTTTCTCTTTCTAGATTTGCCTCTTTGAACATTTAATATAAGTGGAATCATGCAATATGTGACCTTTTGTGTCTGGCTTTTTTCATTTAGCATAATGTTTCAAGATTTATTCATATAGCATGTATCAGTACATCATTTTTTTTTTTTTTTTTTTGAGATGGAGTTTTGCTCTTGTTGCCCAGGCTGGAGTGCAGTGGTGTGATCTTGGCTCACTGCAACCTCCGCCTCCCGGGTTCAAGCGATTCTCCTGCCTCAGCCTCCCGAGTAGCTGGGATTTCAGGCATGTCCCACCATGCCTGGCTAATTTTGTATTTTTAGTAGAGACGGGGTTTCTCCATGTTGGTCAGGCTGGTCTTGAACTCCCGATGTCAGATGATCTGCCCGTCTCGGCCTCCCAAAGTGCTGGGATTACAGGCATGAGCCACTGCACCGGGCCCTTCATTCTCTTTTGTGGCTGAATATTATTCCATTGAATGCTTATATAGTGTTTTATTTGTCCATTTATCAGTGAATGGACTTTGGGTTGTTTCCACATTTCAGTTATGAATAATGCTGCTATAAATATGAACATTCATGTTCAAGTTTTTGCATGGGTTTGTCTTAATTTATCTTGGGTATATATACCTAGGAGTAGAATTGCTGGGTTGTATGGTAACTCTGTGTTTAATATTTTTCAGAACTGCTAGTCTGTTTTCTAAAGTGGCTGCACAATTTTACATTTCTATCAGCAGTGTAGGAAATATGTGGCCTTTTGTAATTGGCTTCTTTCCCTTAGCATAATAATGTTCAAGGTTTATCCATGTTGTAGTATGTATCAGTACTTCATTCCTTTTAATGGCTGAATAATATCCCATTGCATGGATAAAACACATTTATCCTTCAGAAAGCTTTTTATCCAGAAGTATTCAGTGAAGCATTATTTATCATTTTAAAAAATTGAAAATCACCTTAATTTTTAACAAAGAAGGATGGTTAAATTAGGTACATCTGCATGTACCTTTTGTTAGTAATTCATTATGAAGGATTTCAAGGGGAAACAATTGTCAGAGTGCTAAAGTAGGATACAGAATTGTACATGTACAACTGTTAAATATACCTGACTTTGGGGAATGGTGGTTATTGATTTCTTTATTTTTGATTTTCTTGGAGACAGTCTTATCTGTTGCCCAGGGTGGAGTGCAGTGGTGTGATCATACTTGGTGTAAGCTCGAATTCCAGGCCTCAAGTGAGCCTTGCACCTCAGCCTCCTGAGTAGCTAGGACTACAGGCACATGTCATCATGCCCAGCTAATTTTTAAACTTTTTTTTGGTAGAGATAGGGTCTTGCTCTGTTGCCCAGGTTGGTTGTGAACTCCTGAGCTCAAGCAATCCTGTGCCTTACCCTCCTAAAGCACTGTGATTACAGATGTGAGCTACTGGGCCCAGCCCCCAATTTAAAAATGTTTCTGTATTTTCCACACTTCTTACAATGATCATATACTTCTTTTATAATCAAAGTAAAATAATAGTTTTTTTAAATGACAATAGAGGTTGCCTGTGGTGGTGTGCGCTTTAGTCCCAGCTACATGGGAGGCTGAGGTGAGAGGATTGCTTGAGCCCAAGGACTTGAGTCTAGCCTGGAAAACATAATGAGACCCTATCTCTAAAAAAACCCAGGTCAGGCACAGTGGCTCATGCCTGTAATCCCTGCACTTTGGGAGGACAAGGTGGGAGGATCGCTTGAGCCCTGGAGTTTGAGACCAGCTTGGGCAACATAAAAAAACCCTGTCTCTGAAAAAACAAAAACAAACAAACAAAAATATTTCCTGGCGAGGTGGTACTGCACACCTTTGTCCCAGCAACTCAGGAAGCTGAGACAGGAAGATCTGTTGAGCCTGGAAGGTTGAGGCTGTAGTGAGCTGGGGTTGTGCTCCAGCCTGGGTGACAGAGTGAGACCCTGTTGGGCCCCCCCCCCAAAAAAAAATAAAATCCCAAACCGAAAAAACAACAGTAGCTGTGTCTTTGTATGTTACTGATATAAATTTATTCAGCCAAGAAAAGCAGGATCATTCAGTGTAAGGAGTGTTAATATTCTATGTTGATTCATGATTAGCATATATTATAAATAAAATAATTTCTGACTATGGCTAAGAGAACTTTTAATTCTTCACATTGACCTAAACATTTCAATTTATAATAGCAGTGTAGAATAAATCTCGTGTATTTGACTTCTGAAATGAGGGAGAGGAAAAATATAGGCAATGCATATTTTAAACATAATGAACAGTATTGTATCTTTCAGAGTTCCTTGCAAGAAACAAACTCTATTCTAGGATTTTTAGGCAGAAAGATATTTTATGGTAGGCAGTTTGGTACTTATAAAATCATTGCATGGTCTGGAAGAGCTGGAATCAGAGGGTTATCACTAGATTAATACATTCAAGAACATAAGACCATAGTTGTGATTGAGAGGTCAGGAAACAAACTGAGGAGTAGTCATAGGAACACTGAATCTGGTACCATAACTGCTTCTAGCTGCGTTTATATCTAGTGAGTAGAGTTTGGCTATCGCAGTTGTTTCTAAACCTTCTTTGTGTCGTTGCTCACCACTGAAATCAGCAGCAGAAAGATAGCTTCCATATCACTTCTGCTTTACAAATTTCGTAAGAAGCTTTCTAACTAGCAGGACCTTGTTTGCATTTCTAATACTAATTGTAAAGGAAAGTCTGGGAAATGTAGCTTTTTTTTCTTTTTTGGTTGGGGGGACAGGGTCTCACTGTGTCACCTATGCTGGAGTGCAGTGACATGATCTTGGCTCACTGCAGCCTCAGCCTCCTGGGATCAAGCAGTCCTCCTGGGCCCAAGCAGTCCTCCTGGGCCCAAGCAGTCCTCCCCAGCTCAAGCGGTCCTCCTGAGTAGCTGGGATTATAGGTGCTCATCACCACACCCAGCTAATTAAAAAAAATATTTTTTGTGGAGATGGAATCTTACTGTGTTGCCCAGTCTGGTCTTGAACTCCTGGGCTTAAGTGATCCTCCTGCGTTGGCCTCTCAAAATGCTGAGATTATAGGCATGAGCAAATGCACCTGGTCAGTTTTTTTTTTTCTTTTTTTTTTTCTTTTTAATAAAGCATTCCTGCCCCTGAGGTACAGGAAGGCTTCTATAGGGAGTGGTGAGAGGGAATGAATGCCAAGTATTTCATGACTAGCCTTCAGAAGCTTCTGTTTACTAGGTAATAAGGCTTTATACTCAGCGTACAGTTGACCCTTGAACGACATGGGTTTGAACCGCACAATTCCATTTACATGTAGGCTTTCTTTATCCTCTGCCACCCTTGAGACAGCGAGACCAACCCCTCCTTTTCCTCCTCCTCTTCAGTCTACTCAACTTGAAGATGGTGAGGATGAAGACATTTATGATAATCTACTCCACTTAATGAATGGTAAATATATTGTCTCTTCCTTAAGATTTTCTTTTCTCTAGCTTACTTTGTTGTAATAATACAGTATATAATACATATACAAGATATATGTTAATGGACTGTTTCTGTTAAGGTAAGACTCCTGGTCAACAGTAGGCTATTAACTTTTAGGAGTCAAAAGTTATGTGCAGATTTTTGATGAAGTGAGGGGCTGACAGGTTGCCAGGAATCCCTGTGTACTTCATGGGTCAACTGTATTTATTTGTAATCACCGTAATCCCTGTGTACTTCATGGGTCAACTGTATTTTATTTACTATTTTATTCTATTTTATTTTTTTAGATGGAGTTTTGCTCTGTCACCCAGGCCAGAGTGCAGTGGCGCAATCTTGGCTCACTGCAACCTCCACCTCCTGGGTTCAAGCGATTCTTGTGCCGCAGCCTCCCAAGTAGCTGGGATTACAGGCGCCCACCACCACGCCCAGCTAATTTTTGTATTTTTAGTAGAGAAGGGGTTTCACCATGTTGGCCAGGCTGGTCTGAAACTCCTGACCTCAGGTGATCCACCTGCCTTGGCCTCCCAAAGTGCTGGGATTACAGGCATGAGTCACCTTGCCTGCCCTTGGGTCAGCTGTATTTTAAAGGTGGTGAGATTAACAGTATTCAGCTTAGATTTGATTTGTTCAGAAATTGTTCTTTTCTTTTAGTCTGAACCATTGATGTTCTGTTTTCATAATGTGTCAGTTGTAGTGTTTCGTTAGAAATAAATGAATGTTTATAGACTTTTTTTTCTTTTTTTTTTTTGAGACAGGGTCTCACTCTGATGCCCAGGCGAGTACAGTGGTGCAGTCATGTCTCACTGCAGCCTCAGCTTCCTGCGGTCAGGTGATTTTCCCACCTCAGCCTCCCAAGTAGCTGGGACTATAGGTGTGCTCCACCATGCCCAGCTTTTTTTTTTTTTTTTTCTTTTTTTGACATTTTTTGTAGAGACGGCGTTCTGCCATGTTGCCCAGGCTGGTCTCGAACTACTGGGTTCAAGTGATCCGCCCTCTTTGGCCTCCCAGAGTGTTGGAATTACAGGTGTGAAGCACCATATCCTGCTGAAATTTTCTTTGCAGTGTGTTTCTCTTTGGATTGAAGAGGTAAAATGTTGCCAATAGATTTAAAAGTCTCCATACTTTTTTCCCTAATAGTTGGGCTTTTATAGAATTGAATTAATATATACTTTTTTTTCTTTAGTTATTTGATTATTTTGCCTCCATTTATTATTTTGTCAAAATGGGAGAAGTGACCTGGCATGTTGGCTCACACCTGTAATCCCAGCACTTTGAGAGACAGAGGCAGGTGGATCGCATGAGCCCAGGAGTTTGAGACCAGCCTGGGCAAAATAGTGAGACTCTGTCTCTATCAAAAAAGTAAATAAATAAATTAGCTTGGCATGGTGGTCCCAGCTGCTTAGGAGAATTGCTTGAGCCCAGGAGGTTGAGGCTACAGTGAGTCATGATCATCCCACTGCACTCCAGCCTGGGTGACAGAGGGAGATCCTGTCTCAAAAAAAAAAAAAAAAAAGGAAGAAGTTGTGGTAATGTTTAAAAAGAATATGTGAACTAGTAAATGCAACTTTTCCTCTTAAAATGTGGAATCAAGATGTTATGCTTTTTAGTTCCTCATAAAGTTTTGAGAATGCTAAAAGATACTTTAGTGTGCTTTTTCTTTCTTCTTTCTTTTTTTTTTTTTTGAGACGCAGGCTCGCTGTGTTGCCCAGGCTGGAGTGCAGTGGCCGGATCTCAGCTCAATGCAAGCTCCGCCTCCCGAGTTTACACCATTCTCCTGCCTCAGCCTCTTGAGTAGCTGGGACTATAGGTGCCCGCCACCACGCCTGGCTAGTTTTTTTTTTGTGTGTGTTTTTTTAGTAGAGACGGGGTTTCACCATGTTAGCCAGGATGGTCTCGATCTCCTGACCTCGTGATCCACCCATCTCGGCCGCCCAAAGTGCTGGGATTACAGGCTTGAGCCACTGCACCCGGCCTTAGTGTGCTTTTTCATCAGAAGATATTTCTACCTCCCAAGTTTCATGAAATATCAGCTTATTGAGTAGTTTCAGTATGGCGAGTGTCTAATTAAAAAGCCATATGCTATATAACTTCCAAATACTGTAATTTCAATTCCTTTTTTTTTTTTTAGAGAGAGCCTCACTCTATGGTCCAGGCTGAAGTGCAGTGGTGCAGTCATACCTCACTACAGCCCCAAACCCCTGGCTTCAGATGATCCTTCTGCCTCAGTGTCTGAGATAGCTGGGATTATAGGTGTGAGCCACTGGGCCTGGTAGATTCTTCACTAAGTATTTGAGAGCAAATTAGGAATTTTAGCTTCTGGTACCATTTGTTGCTTGCAACAGAAAGTTAGGTTGACCTGGAAACTTAACTGCTTTAGAGATGCCTGTTTCCTACTTTGGAGGAGCAAGGAATGAAGCTTTGGTATAGACATTTTTAAGCACTGAAATTGAAGGGTTATTCTTGTTCCTCCTACCCCCATCACTTTTCAAGTTGATTTCTTTGATGAGTATTATTTATTAATAGTATTCTGTGTTAGCAAGTTAGGGTAATTGTTAAACGTTGTGGCTCATGTATTCTATACATGTTTTTTGGAAAAACTACTTAATACATTTTAGAACTGACATTAAGATTTTTCATCATAAGTTTGAAAAGTTGCAAAAGATGTAGTTTCTGGTGTATTGTATGTTGTATATGTTTTTACATAATGTATTGACCAAGATCTTGACCTGGTGGATTTTGGTTATTCACTTTAATGGGAAATATTGCTGTAAAATCTAATTGTTAGTCCTCATAATCAAATCAGCCAAATGGGGTATGTTTTCTCGTCAGAAATGGTTTTATTTTTAATTCTAATAAACACCTCGGTACCTGCACTCAGTGACTTTCACTTTCTACTTCTAAGACAGATTGATAAAGCAAGGAGTCATGTCAAGAGTTTGTAGCATAAGGCATCGTTTCTTTCAATATTTCTTGTTTTCTCATATGACACTTTTCCCAAGTCACTCCTGATTGTCCTTTTGGTACGCTGGAGATTTCTTGAGGTGAGGAGCATGTTTAAGCTTGAGATGAATAAGAGAAATGACTTTTTTTTTTTCTTCTTAGAAACAGGGACTTGCTCACCTAAGCTGTAGTAGAGTGGCACAGTCATAGCTCACTCACTACTGCAGCCTCAAACTCCTGGGCTCAAGTAGTCCTTTTGCCTCAGCCTTTTGAGTAGCTAGGATCACAGGTGCATGCCACCATTCTTGGCTAATTATTTTATTTTATTTTTGTAGAGACGGGTTATCTCTATGTTGCCCAGGCTGGTCTTCACCTCCTGGCCTAAAGCGATCCTCCTGCCTCCGCCTCCCAAAGTGCTAGGATTACAGGTGTGAGCCACTGTGCCTGGCCTTGACTTCCTTTTATAACGTAAAAGAGCTATTGTGAAAGGAAAGATGGAAGAGACAAGGAATTGTGCTTGGATACGTCAATTTTAGAAGAGCACAAAAGGCAGTTGGTGATCTGAAAATTGATCTCCTTAAAATTGTCTAGACCTGTGTACCCCCGGAAAATATCAAATCTTATACTGGGTTGGTGACTCGAGTTAAGGGAACAGCTTATCTTCTGCCTTAATTGGTATCCTGTATTTATCTTTTGAAGTAAATTATTTCACTTTTTAATTTTACCTTGAAAGTATTGTTTTGAGAAAGTGTATAACTGGCTTCTTCTTTTTTTTTTTTTCCCTCTTTTTTTGAGACAGGGTGTGACTCTGTTGCCCAGGCTGGAGTGCAGTGGTGTGACCTTGGGTCATTGCAGCCTCCGCCTCCCAGGCTCAAATGATCTTCCCATCTCAGACTCCTGAGTAGCAGAGACTACAGGCTGGCACCACGTTGGCTGGTTATTTTTTGTATTTTTGGTGGAGACGGGGTTTGGCCATGTTGCCCAGGCTGATCTCAAACTCCTGGGCTCAAGTGATCCGCCCACCTCGTCCTCCCAGAGTGCTGGGATTATAGGCATGAGCCACCGTGCCTAGCCATAACTGACTTTTATGATGAAACCAGCGTAGTTTTTACAGTACTTTACAGGCCAGCAGACATAGTAATTAGAACCTCATGGAAGTGATTGCCAAAATGTAAAAATTAGAAAAAAAAGAAAACTAGATCTTTTGTCTTTTGCTCCATACCAAGGTAAATTCTTGATTTTTCCCAGAATTCAGTATAAAAAAGGGAAACCTTAAAAATACTAGGAGAAAACATAGGTCAATATAAAAACTCTTGGGTACGGGAAAGATTTTCAGAAGAAGTCTTACAGAGAAATACTTGTAAGTGTGCCTGATTTATAAGTAAGATTGTTCTATGGACTGTAGTTGTTTTTTAATTATTATTATTTCTTAATGCTGTTTGGTTAGCCATGTCAAATTGTCATATCTTAATCGCTCATAAAATGTTTATATAATGAAGGTAAATATTATGGTCCATGAATTTATGTACATGATTTTGTTTTTTAAAGACTTATTTAGAATGGTGGTTCCCTACCCTGGCAGTACGTTAAAATAGTCTGGAGGTACCCTTAACAAAACACAGGTTCCTGGGAACCACTCCTAGGAATTGATTAATTTGTCTGATGTGGGGCTTTGGCATTAATACTGCTTTAAAAGCTCACCAGTTTATTTTACTATCCACCTGGGATCGAAAACTTACGTTTTTGAAGGATTTGTTTTCACTTTGATCCTTCTTTTGTTTTGTTTGTTACTCTTTTCTTTCTCCTTCCTTGAACTCAGTTTGGTACATTAAAAGACTAAATATAACATTATAGAGTCCAACATGCTCCTTTTTCTCATTAAAGAAGTAAATCTTCAAATTATTGTTTTATAGCCATAACTTTTTAAAAAATATGAATTCTTCTTTAGAAATAGTTTTTAGAATACATGTAAGATCAAGACTGCCATTTACCTCTAAGTAATCTTGCAAGTTTTATATTACCTTTTCCCTCTGCTCTTTAAATACAAATAACCCTTCAAAAATACTGATATAACAAACACCACCCAGGACTCATCAGCCTTTCTGATGATTTCTTTGGTAAGTTAAGGGGTTATTTGGCTCTTGGTAATAGACAAGGTTGTACATATGTAGAAGTGGGGAGAAATTAGGAAACCAGTCTGTTATGTTCTCTTGGAATTAACTCTTGATTATTAAGCATCTTAAAAATGAATATCTTCGGCCGGGTGTGGTGGCTCACGCCTATAATCCCAGCACATTGAGAGGCCGAGGCAGGCGGATCACGAGGTCGAGAGGTTGAAACCATCCTGGCTAACATGGTGAAACCTCGTCTCTACTAAAAATAAAAAAATTAGCTGGGCATGGTGGCATATGTCTGTTGTCCCAGCTACTCGGGAGACTGAGGCAGGAGAATCGCTTGAACCTGGGAGGCGGAGGTTGCAGTGAGCTGAGATTGCACCACTGCACTCCAGCCTGGTGACAGAGTGAGACTCCGTCTCAAAACAAAAAAAAAGACAAAAAAAAGTAATAATAATATCTTCCCAGCTGGACACAGGTGGCTCACACCTGTAATTCCCAGCCCTTGGGAGGCTTGAGCGGTGGATCACCTGAGGTCAGGGAGTTCGAGACTAGGCCCTGGCCAAAACATGGTGAACAAACCCGCCTCTACTAAAAATACAAAAATTAGCCTGGCGTATGGGGCCGACATGCCTGCAATCCCGCCACCTGGAGGCTCGAGGCAGGAGCTGACCCAGAGCCAGAGGTTGCCAGTGTGCCAAGACTGCACTCCAGCCTGCGGTGACAGAGTTAGACCATCTCAAAAAACAAAAAAACCTTCCGTAATTTAAAAGGTACACAGTTATACAGCTGGGAGTGCGTCGGCTTGTGCTCGCCTGCTAATCCCAAGCCACTCTGGGAAGGCTGAGTCCCGCATTGGCTGTGTGGCAGATCACTTGAGCCCAGGAGTTCAGACCAGTCTGAGAAATATGGCAAATCCCCATCTCTACCAAAAAAAAAATTATTATAATAATAAAAAAATAAAAATCATAAGCCTGGCATGGTAGCATACACCTGTAGTCCCAGCTCCTTGGGAACCTGAGGTGGGGGGATCGCTTGAGCCTGGAAGGTTGAGGCTGCAGTGAGCTGAGATTGCACCCACTCAGCCTGGATGACAGTGCGAGATGCTGTCTCAAAAAAAAAACAAAAAACCTATAATACAGCAAAAGAACATAGTTGTTCATTTGAATGTTGAATGATTGAACATAGAGATATTTTGATAATACTACTTGCACATTTGTCAGATTTTTAATAATCTAAAAATGAATAATGCTCTGATCTGAATATTTGTGTCTCTTTTCCCCACCCCCAAATTCGTATGTTGAAATTCTAACTGCCAATGTGATGGTAATAGGAGGTGAGGCCTTTGAGAGATGATTCGGCCCTCATGAATGGGATTAGTGCCCTTGTAAAAGAGACCCCAGAGAGTTAGCTCTACCCTTCTACCATGTGAAGATACAGTGAGAAGGTACCATCTAAGAGAAAGTGGGTCCTCAGCCAGGCGTGGTGGCTCACGCCTGTAATCCCAGCACTTTGTGAGGCCAAGGTGGGCGGATCGCCTGAGGTCAGGAGTTAAGGACTAGCTTGGTCAACATGGTAAAACCCTGTTTCTACTAAAAATACAAAAATTAGCCAGACGTGGTGGCGGGTGCCTGTAATCCCAGCTACTGGGAAGGCTGAGGCAGGAGAATTGCTTGAACCTAGGAGGAGGAGGTTGCAGTGAGCGGAGATCATGCCATTGCACTCCAGCCTGGGTGACAAGAGCAAAACTCCGTCTCAAAAAAAAAAAAAAAAAAAAAAAAAAAAAGTGGGCCCTCAACAGACTGTGAATCCGCCAGTGCCTTGATCTTGGACTTCCCTCTTCCACAACTCTGAGAAACAAATTTTCGTTGTGTATAGGCTACCTAGTTTGTGGTATTTTGTTACAGCAGCCTGAACGGGCTAAGACAAGTAAGAACTTTCCTTACGTTCTTTATTTTTCTGTAAAGTATTACCTTCTCCCCTTCCCAATGAACAGTTTTCAGCAATCATTTTACTTGTAGGCCCTGGTGTGCCAGGTCCTGACTGAAATGCAGACTGATCACTCTGCCGTAGAGTGATGCAACTTACTGATGCAACTTACTGCGTGTCTTAACTCCTTACGAAGGCAACTGGGGCAGATTCGATAGTATATTATTGGCTACCTTAAGATAAGCTAGTAGTTGGCATTTCGGCACC